AGGATAGGTTTAGGTTAGATATTAGGAAGAACTACTTCACGGTAAGGGTGGCCAGAGCCTGAAATAGGCTTCCCAGAGAGGTGGTGCTCTCACCTTCCCTGGAAATCTTCAAAAGGAGACTGGATAGGCACCTGGCTGGGGTCTTATGACCCCTCCCACCCCCAGTGCTCCTTCCTGCCCACGGCAGGGGGTCGGACTAGATGATCTGTCTAGGTCCCTTCCGACTCATTGATTCTATGATCACTTTACACATGGGAAAGGTGGCGCAGACAGTAAGTCCCACAAGGAGTCCAACCAGATCTCCTGGGTTCTCCTGTCTCACCCACAAGGCCACGCTGCTTCCCTTGTCCTGTTTCTCTGTGGACCAGAATTCCTTGGCCTCCCTGGGGTAAGAAGGCCAGCCCTGGCTAAAGCTTTCCATTACCTCTGGAGATGCTCGGAGGTAGAGAAAGCCATGCAGGGCAATTCGGTCCCCAAACTCTTGCACAAGGAAAGTGTGCCAGTCCTGGTAAATGGTCCACTCGATCTCAGCCAGAGAGCCAATCTCAAACTGGTTCTTGGCAAAGACGTACCTGGGAAAAGCAGACACAAGACATGGAGCCTGATGGAAGAAAACACAGTAGTTCCAAAACGGTATGATTATTACGCTGCAGGTGGCACTACACCAAATTATGAAGGGTTACATCAACAGCAGGCTGATCTCAGCTACAGAGATAACATCCAAAGAGTGAGGTGGCATTGAAGGCAGCATGTTTTTAAGTGGTTTTTAACCCAAGTGATACTGGCTTTCCCTCACAGGGGCCTAACTGGGAACAGCCCAATTACTTGTTTTAAAACAAGATGCAACGGTTTTTGTGGGTAATAGCTTTTATTGGATCAACTGCATTTTGGGGATGGATATAGATAAGATTTATGGTACCAAAGGTCGAAAAAGAAAACAGACATAGCTTGAGGATGTAGCAGACAGAACCAAGGGCTGTGTAAAACTCCAGCTGTAGTTAAAACCAGGATAAAAGAGAAATTATCAAGTAGCTGACAGACAAGAGAAATACAGTTGGTCCAATATAAGGCATCACCCACAGAAATCCTTGCTTCTCACATACTCCCTGGACCATCACAGCTCCAACACTTTTCTAAACAAGGAACTCTAACTAGGAATTGTTTTCCCGCTCACAGGGAATTGCTCCTTCTTTGGCCAGTCACAGCACAAAGCAATTGCTTCTGCATTCAGGCATCATTCACTCTTCCCTCACTTTCAGGACACTGCAGACCCAGCTCGTTATCTCACCTCCAACTCAGATATCTGGAAACCACAACTTTTCAGCCCAAAGATCCACCACAACCACTTTCCAAAGAGCCTAGCCCCATTACCACATAAGAAGCACCTCCTTGGAAAAGCAAACACCCCCAGCCCCACTTCACATCTGGAGGCAGACACAGGAAAGAATCCTGTAAACTCATTTTTCAAGTCAGCATCCATGTAAAGCAGTGGTTCTCAGCCATTTTAGACTCAAGGCAACTCTCATTCAAGTCAAGGTCCCCATTGGATGCTAGCTCTTAGTTTTCACCCAGTTTTTGACTGTGGAAAAATAAAAGAGCAGCTTTTCTGCCGCAAAGAACTCAGAAAGCCCACACGAGCAGAATGGTTTTGACACTGGATTTCTATTTGAAATCTCTGGGTTTTATATTGTATAAAATACAATATGTTATATTGTATCACATGTACAAAGTGCTAATGCTGAATAGCAGCCCACAGCATGTTTAAAAGGATCTCCCATTCCCCTGGTTGAGAAGCATTTTTATAAACACTTCAAGTCCCACTATCTGACAAGCAGCTACAAAACATAGTCAAGCAGGTTTCCAAGTGTCCAAGCAACTGTAATGGAAGGGGTGAGACTTGGTCTGACAACATGAATGGCACTGAACTGCCCAAAGCACATACTTAGCTTGGTTTTAAAGGATGCATCTGAGGAATAATGAATGGGAATGTTTGTGGGAGTTTTATATAAGCCTTTCAATGAAGTGTTTTGCAGAACTGAAAAAAAAAGAGCACATCCATGTTTTGGAAGGCTATGGACTTCCAGCACAAGCTCTGAGGAGGGTTCAAGACGATCAGGCAGAGATAACACAACCCCCGTGACTCTTCTATCACACAAAAGGCACCTTCTATTTCCAATAACCAGTTGTGTTGGCCTGAAGTCTGGCAGAAGGCAGGGCAGAGGGGCACCTAACTGCTTTCTGCAAGTCCATTGATGGCATCAGAGAAGAGTCCAACCTCTGAAAGCTCATGCCTCTCTGAAGCTATTTAGTCTCCAAGGTGTGCCCCCCTGCCCTGCCCTGCCTTCTGTTTCAAGAGCTTTTTTCCATTTTTGGGGCCTCCTTACAGGTCGTGAGTTTCTCTACCTCCCCTCAATAGCCATTTAAGGCTGAGTTCCACATATGAATAGGACCAAAATGGACCAGATAACTTACACTGTCTGATGGTACAGGGCGCAATCACAGCAAAGCAAAGAGCAAATGTGATTTGTCCCCAGCATTCTCTTCACCTTCACAGGCACCAGGAACCTCTGGGTCTGTTCTCGGTAGCAAGCTGTTTTCTCTCTGAACTCTCCATCCTATAGCGTAGTCAACTCCAGAGCCAGACCCACTGTGCAATTCCTTGCTACACCAGAACAGATGCCCAAGTGGGTGATTTGTTTCTGAGTGCCTTGAAGGCAAGAATGACACATGCCCCCGGCAGCTGGGGGGGGCATGGCAGCGGCAAGAGTGTGGCAGTGGTGGTAAAGTGGGAGCTCCCACAGATCCCACCGGCACTATCAGCAGGGTGTGGGGGGGCAGGGCAGTGAGCACCAACCAGGGGTTGGCGACCACTCGCAAACGCCACCGGCCAGCAGGGATTGCCAACTGCCTGCAGATGCCATCGGCAGTGTTGGCAGCAGGGGGGAGAGGGATGGCAAGAGGCAACCGCCTGCAGACACCACCAACAGTGTCAGCGGTGCCTTTTTTTAGGGGGTGCACAGCCACGCTGAAAGGGAGCATCTGCACCCCCTTCAAGCCACCCCTGCTTGAAGGCATGGCCTGGGCAGGTTCCACAAGATACATAACAGGGGGAATACATGGAAACAGTCCTAGTCCTGGATACAATTCTCAGCTCTGCCACATCACTTTTCAAGGCACACATCTCAAGGCACCTACTTCACCATCCCCCTGCACTTTGCATCATCATTTATGCTGTGACAAGGCAAACATGAAATACTACTGCTGTCTTCCCATAGCATTTGCATTTGCTCTGTCAGGGAAAAAACAAGCCCTTAGAGCAACAATGAATGTGGCCTTTCATCTGCCTCATCTATAGAAGAGGATAATACTTCCTGTACCATGATGGCGGATAACCTTGTCACGTGGCTCAGATGGCTCGAAGAAGAGCCTCACCAAGTAGATGCAACAGTTTCCTGACCCGTGTTTCTGAGGGGCACATGTTGGGGCCCTGCAACATGTTCAAATTCAAGCTGGAGAGAAGCACGCTATAGAGTTGTAGCACATCTGCAAGCACTAAACTGCATCTGGCTGGTTTTTTCGTTGCTGGACAGTCATTTTTATTGTGCAATAATCACTTTGCATGTGTGGCCAGTCCAAATTTATTGCATGATTAACCAGTTACAGGTGACCCTTACCATTCACAGGGGATATGTTCTCACATCCCCTGCAAATGGCAAAATCCGTGAATAAGGCACGGCGTTCATGAATGCTGTCTGTGTACATGAACTCAGTGCCCCCAGCGGTTGGTGGGGGCACGGCTGTTCTGGCAGCGGCGGCAAGCGCAGAGCTCCCAAGGAGCTCCTGTAAGTGTATTTAAAAAGCGGGTTTGGCATTCACGAATATTTGAAACTGCGAATAGTGAGGGTTTCCTGTAATTGCATAATATATGTAACGTGTAGTAGGGATTTTGGAAGCCCACATGGGTTCCTCTTTAATTAAAAAAGCAACCAAGTATGGCACTGCCACACTTTCCTGATAAATGGAGAGCTCCCTAGCATGGTGACTGCAGCCCAGGGCTCCTTGGCACCATACCTATCACTGTATACTGATCTCTCAAAGATCTGCACAGGGTCCTGAGACTTCAGCAGCTTCTCCGGCAGGGGCTCCAGCTGTGCCTTTAGCCGGGTCATGAAGGAGTAGGTCTGGAATGTGTAGGACCACCGGGCTGGCTCCTGGTAGATCATCTGAAGCAGGTTCCCAAAGCTCTGGGATGATGAGACCTGCTGAGGGAATGGCAGAGGCGCCCAGTGAGGGAGGAAGTCTCTGAATCTGGCTGATTCGGCTGAGAAGCAGAGCCCCTCTGAAGCCTGTCAGAAATGGAGCAATGAGGGCATCTCATCCTGATACATCCCCTGGAGATCCTGGCTCATCCTGATATTCCCTCCACCCACACCCACACTCGTGGACTCACCTCGTTGGGTTTGAAGGCTTGGACCTTCTGCCATTTTGCCACAGGCTCTGTCCCCACGCACCACTCAGGGAATGCCTTGCCAAGCAGACGGACAAACGTGGACTTCCCCACCGCTGGAGAAGAAACACAGGGGCATTTGTCAGTGTTGGGTGCCCAGAGAGAGAAGACGCATCCAACCCTGCATGTCATCCCAGGTCCCCTTTGACTTGAATACAAGGAGGACACTCCCTCAAGCAAAAATAGTGATAGAGGATTTGCTATCTCTGACCACACCAGTGGGTCTCAAGCTTTTTAGATTCAAGGCACCCCTGGATAGACTCGAGGTCCCCCTTGGAGAAGGCCAGCTCTTAGTTTTCTGCCTACGGAAAAATAATAGTGTAGTTTTTCTGTTACAAAGAACTCAAAAAGAGCACAGCTATGGATACCTATTTGAAAGCTCGGGGTTTGCACAGCTAGCCGTGCTAACATGGTGCAGATCTCCAGGATGGATCTCAAGGCACCCCAGTGCTGTAACACCTAGTTGAAATCAGTGATCTAGCCCAGCAGTCTATCCAGACTAACACACCACAGCCAGCAAAACCCTTGTGTGAACAATGCCACCAGTGCCTATTTCACTGCCAAACCAACTAAATGTTCTACAAAACCTGCCTCCTGTCTACACAGAAGCCCCCGACTGGCACATAAAGCAACCACCCTGCAAGATTTAGCAGTAGAGTATGTAAAAGAGTCTCATAATAGCTGAAACCGCACTGTTTCAACCAAATAGAACTGTACTATTGCATACACTGGACACAAAAATCAGGGCATAATCAGTATCTTGGGAGTGTCTGCTTCGTTAGGACTTTAAGGATCTGTCAAAACAAGCTGCTTGTCTATCGCTGCTTGTTTGTTTCGGCTTTCAAGGCCCTGGTGCCACAGTCACGCCAAGTTTATGGATAAGTACAGATAACTGAGAGCTCAGACTGGAAACTCATCTACATTGTTACTGGCTGAGATGAATAAATAAATGCTTCATTTGTGTGATACAGACTGCACAAGGGAGAGGAAATGACACTACCTCTTTGGCTGTGACAATTTTGAGATTAACACGTCCCACTACAGCTTCAGCCTCAGAATCAGAGGAAAGGCAGGCCAGACAGGGCCTCACAAGGGCCCTGTCCAGACCCTGCTCAAGGCAGGATCCTCCCTGACTAAACCGTCCCAGCCATGGGTCTGTCTAACCTGCTCGTAAAAGTTTCCAAGGAAGGAGATTCCACTATTTCTTGTTCCAATGCTGGAACACTCGCAGACTCAGAAAGTTACTCATCTTCCAGCCTCACTTTCCCCTGCACCACCTCAAGCCACTGCTCCCAGTCCCGTTCCCCACAGCCACAAAGAAAAGCCCATCTCCATCCTCTGTCATCCCCCTGCAGGGATGTGAGGACTGTGATCAAATCCCACCTCAGCCTTCTCATCTCCAGACTAACCCTGCTTACTTCAGCCTTTCCTTATCACTCAGTCTTGATGCTGATGCTGGGAGTCCTGAACATCCCTCGCCCCTTTTGGCTGTGCTACACATACCATTGCATCCCTCCTCACAGGTCCTCCGATCCCAGGAGCACTTTGGTCTGAAGGACGATGACGAGGGGCAGTTTCAAGGGAGCTGCGATGCACAGGGCAGCAATCACGCTCCTATGCTAACCAGGTGACCCCGGGAAAGACCAGTGGTCACCGGCCAGGCCTCAGTTTCCCTGCTCCCAACTCAACTGGCCAAGAGACCCTTATCTGCGAGGAACAAGACAGGCAGGAGTACAGGCATCTGAACCTGAAGCGTACAAGACTCCCCCGCACCACGGCAGAGGGGTGGGAGGCTGGAATTCACCGTGACCACGAGAGGCCTGAGACCCAGCAGCAAGGGGGAGAGGACGTGCAGTCTCTGCTGTGGGCAGCTGCTTTTGGTAATGTTTCCTGCTAACTAATAGCCCAATAAACAAGCATCTAGTTAAGAAGCACTGGCTTTAAATCATACAAAAGTGGGGCTGGAAGAGGCCTCCAGAGATCATCTAGTCTAGCCCCCTGCCTGAGGCAGGATCAGTGCTCTCCAAACCATCTCAGGCACATCCGGCATCTCAATGTTACGTAAGACGACCGTCAACACGTGCCTAACACTCCAGCCTGCCAAAGGGAAAGCAGGGACCCGCGACAGCCCGCGCCTGGCGTGGGCTTCTCCGGATAAAAGACATGCCCCCAGAATCACTGCGGGTGTGCTGCTGCCAACCTGTCACCGATATCTTCTTTAGCCATCTAATGCATGCATGCTAGGAAAAGAAAGAGATGGAGAGCGGGCACTGAGGACACCTCTCGCTTTTGCAACCTCTGTCACTTCCCCACCTCCAGGGGCGCGGGGGCTTCACCTTGCCTCCCCCAGCCTTTCTCCCTAGCCAGGTTTCAGAGGGGCTCTGGTCAGCCCCCGCCAGCTCCCAGGGGGCTCCTAAGCCAGAAGGCTTTAGGACCAGGGAGGTTGATGCTGGGATCTCCCGGGGGAAATCCCGACCCCGCACCCCTCAGGCAGGGAACCAGGAGCCCCACGCAGCCGTGCCCCCTGCCCGGCGGGGGTGCGGGGCCCCGGCCTGTCAGCTCTCGCCCCCACGCAGCCGTGCCCGAGGCCGCGGCGCCGCCCTACCGATGTTGCCCTCGATGGCGAGGCGCGGGC